GTTGCTGCGTGTTGTTCTAAGGTGCATTTAAAACACGGGAGAGCATGGTGCTGCTGCCAGAGCTACATATTTTTATTTTTGGACTCCACTCGAGCAGCTTTGTTTATCTTAAACTACACCTTGATCCAGCATTGAAACAAGCCATTTAACACTCTACAATCTAACAATCTAGCTTTATTTTGATTGGCTGCCCTTGCCTACACGTGGGTCGGGCTTTTGTGTTCAGATCCAGAGTTTTAACATTTTGCAGATCAAAAACCGGATCCACCAGTGGAACAGTGTGTTTATGTGTAGATGTTTGTATGTGTAACCAAAAATGTGGGAAACTTCTTGGGTTTTTTTTGTCCTCATCTTTGTTGTGTGTAACTTGCAGAAACGGTTCGAGCAATGACCCATGTGATAAACCAAGGCATGGCCATGTACTGGGGGACATCCCGCTGGAGCCCGATGGAAATAATGGTGAGACTCAGTCCAAAATACATTCCTTCTATCTTCACAAGTTCCAGTTATTTCCAGCTTCACATTATCTACTATTTCTATTCTTGTTCAGTATTGGTCCCAATACAAAATGTTTACATACTCTGCTGTATTATGTAACTCTTTGCATGTTTTTCTCTAGGAAGCGTACTCTGTTGCGAGACAGTTCAACCAGATTCCCCCCATCTGCGAGCAGGCAGAGTACCACATGTTCCAGAGAGAGAAAGTGGAGGTGCAGCTACCTGAGCTGTTCCATAAGATAGGTGAGCAGTGGTGCGTTTGTGCCTCCAGGTGGAGAATTGATCCATGAAAGCATTACAAAAGTTATTTTTTACACAAACCCACAGAGCTAGAGGGATTTTTGACACGTGGACACACAAGGTTAAATTGAAGCCAAGTGTTGGATCTCGGGTCTGATGAAAATAAAAGGAAGCATTTCAGAAATGTAACATGAGAACTTCTCTCTTACTTCCTGGAGCACTGGAGATCAGTGCAGTTCTGATTATAGCTGGTTAAAGTCTTGTTTGTGTTGTCATATAACTTTATTAGCTTCAATTCAATGCAGACAGTCGCCTCAAGGAGCTTTATATTGTAAGGTAGACCCTACAATAATACATACAGAGAGAAACCCAACAATCATATGACCCCACTTGCACATTGGCGACAGTGGGAAGGAAAAACTCCCTTTTAACAGGAAGAAACTGCCAACAGAACAAGATTCAGGGAGGGGCGGCCATCTGCCGCGACCAGTTTGGGTAAGGGGAGGAAGACGGAATAAAAGACATGCTGTGGAAGTGTGTGAACAGTCAGTGTGATTTAAGAGAAGTAGAGAAATGGTCATCATCAACTCAGCAAAGTTCAGCCCTTTTTTTTTTAATTTATTGAAGGCTGATAAAAATTGTTCAGTAGTGATCACATGTTTCTCTTCTCAGGTGTGGGGGCCATGACGTGGTCTCCGCTGGCCTGTGGGATCATCTCAGGGAAATACGATGGCAGGGTCCCTCCCTACTCGCGGGCCTCCCTTAAGGTAGACAAGCCTCGCTCGCTGTGCTCCTTCTTTATCCCACTCTGATCATCTGTGCCGCTGTCACTGTGCTGCGTTTCACTGCTGGTTGCTTATTGTGTGTGTTTGTGTCTTTCAGGTTCTGTTACTCACCACATACTGTAACCTTGTGTGTTTTCAGTGCCATGCCGACGCC